CGTGTGGGTTTCTACAAAGAATGACCTTGTTGAAGGACATTAAAGATGTTATCTTTCCTTCTGAGAAACTAAAAACGATGAGCAGTGTTAATTAGAACACGTCAACACAAGGCAAGGGCATGTTTAGGAACACCAGTCAAAAATCGCAGGCAGGGACGACGCCTGTGTTGGGTAAGGTTATTTCAACGTCAAAGACGACGACTGAAAGGTATTGTAGTTGATGCCGACACTGACACCTCCAAATCATAGGATGTTAGTGCATTATCGCCTCCAGGAATTTTCCTGTGCAGCATTGATTATTTCTAACTTTCAATCCCTCAGCGCCCGAATGTCAAAAGTAGATCTTCCAACATGGAGCAAAACTCTTTATGGTTAAATTGTCTGTTCATTTGTGCGACAGACCTTTCACGAAACATTTTCATAAAGAACACTATCAGGAAAATCGTCCTTTTTCGTTCCATCCATTTGATTTTGTATAGATCTGTATAATGCAATTACGATGAATAAATAGTTTCAATTATGCTTGAAACATGTCACCCTTTGACTGAGATAATGCCATTGCCATGTATGATTTTGCAGAACTTCTGCGAAAAAGTTGTTATGGTGTTTAATAGTGCTGGTGTATAGTGTTAAGCGCGGTAGTGTAGCATGACATGTCCTGACTGAGTTGGGCGTGGCGTTGTTTGACGTAACGTAGTGTGGCGTGACGTGATACACTGGGGTATTGCGTAGCGTAGCATGTCGTTGCACAGCGTAACGTTGTGCGGCGTGACTTATCACACTCGGTTAATGGCATGGCGTGGCGTGGCGTGGCGTTGCATAACACAGCGTAGTTTGGCGTGATGTGACCTGACGTAGCGTGCTAGGACGTGGCTCGATTTAGCCCGGCGTTGCATGATGATGCAGACCTCGGATGGGATGACGTGACGTAAAGTGACGTGAAGAAGTGTTACATGGATGAGGTGTTAGGCACGAAAGAGCCTTGCATGGTATATCATAGTTTATATCACACACCAGGATTCCTCAGTATGATATTGTAGGTTTGGATATTGAATAATATGATACTATATTACTGATATCGAACAATATGATACTGAATGACGTGATATTGAACAATATGATACTATATGTCGCGATATTGTTAATATAATACTGTATGACGTGGTATTTTACAATATGATAATATATGACGTGATATTGTACAATATGCTAAATGAGTGAGTGAGTGAGTGAGAATGGTTTTACGCCGCTTTTAGCAATATTCCAGCAATATCACGGCGGGGGACACCAGAAATGGGCTTCACACATTGTACCCATGTCGGGAATCGAACCCGGGTCTTCGGCGTGACGAGCGAACGCTTTAACCACTAGGCTACCCGACCGCCCATATGCTAAATGACGTGATATTGAACAATCTGATACTGTATAACGTGCTATTGAACAAGATGATACTGTATGACGTGATACGTGTACAATATCATACTGTATGGAAGATATAGTAAAGTATGTGATATGTAAGGTGTGATATTACATTTTACTATACTATGTGCCATGTTATTGTATAGTAAGGTATTTTGGGCGTTGGAATGTATGGCATGCTTATTTGTTTTATTTATGTTTCCTCCTTCTTTACTCGTCTCAGCAGGTACGGCATATACATGTCATGTCAGCATATTGTGGTACATGGTATACAAGAAGTTTAAAACTATTCATACGTATAAATTCCTGCCAATAAGGTCAACGTGTCTGTATCACTATGTATTGAAGATTGGTTTTTAAACAAAGTGTGGAAGGAAGACCAGAAACTAAATAAGTTTGCATAGTTGCAATTTGTAAATGACATTACCTTTGTAGCATTGTAATAACTAATTGTCTCATGCTGTAATTGTTCAGAATGTGGCATTAATTTCTTCCTACATTGTCGTTATATTACTTGCTTTGTTGTTAATAGTACAATATTCAATGGGTCGTTGTGTTTGCCTTGTAATCCAAATAAAACATTTTCTCTGTTCAAATCAATGGTTCCTTCCACAACGGTTTTTATCCAGATGTAAGGTTACTCCCAAATCTTTTTTACATGTTCACAATCATATAACATATGGATTATAGTTTCAGGTTAATTTGTACACAAAGTACAAAAAGGGTAATCAACATATCCAATTTTATAAAAATATTTGTTAGTTGTAAGAATGTAATGAATAATCTTAAACTGAAACTATCTAATATCTTCACTTTGAGTACATCATTTTGCCATCAATATATGTTTTGCCAATCCCTTTCACTAAATGACTTATCTAGTAAACTTCCTATTTTTCAATGCCATGAAATTTAACAAAGTCTTGTAAAATTCTTTACTACCTATATTTTGGTTTCGCGGATGTGATATACTAATATTGAATGGCATTGTTGGTCGAGAAGATATAGAATTGAAAACATTATGCTCATTTACAATGGCATGCTAATTGTACTGCTTGGAGCAATGATATATGGTGGATACTACATGACAAAATACTTCGAGGCATGGTATTGCAGTGAGTGAGATGACGTTTTTTGTCACACAGCGTGATGTCATTTTGCATCACGAGATAAGGACAATACAGTTGAATGTGATGTATAGTATTAATACAGTGTCATGATGTGATCAGCATATTGCATGATCAACTGAAGTATTGTTTCCAAGCACATGGCACTCGTGATAACAACGTCTTTACCTCGGCTCGACCAGCCATGAGTGGTGGCCTTTCTTGCCGTAGCAAATATTATTATTATAACTGTTTCGTCACGATATGGCTGAAACATTGCCGATGTGAAGTTAAATTTCACTCACTCACTCACTCACTCACTCACTCACTCACTCACTCACTCTTGCCGTAGCGCTCCACTGTGCTTTGAGGCGAGCACAGGATGGTGTAAGTTAGCGAATGTAGCAACATGTGGCATAGCTTTGTAACGGATTGCGTATTGTGTTGAGAAGTAATATAGGACATTGCGGTAATGCACTGCCGTCGCTGCTGTCAGATACTCAGAAGACTTTCTGAAATACCTGAAAAGAGAAACATGACAGGAAAAATTTAACGCTGAGCCAGTGACGCCAAGGGAAGATAATTACCCAATGCAATAAACGTTTTTCCTGTATTTGCAATTCACTCATCATCCATTGTAATATAGCGAATAATCTATAAGGTGTCTCACAAAACATGCTTTTTCAGTGATATTACCATAATTTATGAGTGAAGTATCAGAGAGCTGGTGTTGATATAAAGCAGATGAAAGCATGAGGACGATACATCAGCGTTAAATATGCCGCACAGTGTGTGAGTCATGTATTTAGGATGATGAGCAGTCAAGTGTCTGATCAACATTTTGACCTGTTAATACAGTTGAATATATCATCAACATTTCGATCTGTTAATATAGTTGTATGTACCATCCATCTTCATGACCACAATGTTATCCGAGTGATGTACACGGTTGTATCCTCCCATCTTCCTGCACAACATCAATTCCCGTAAATAGTGAAACTTCTTTAGTCCAGACCCCGTTCATACGAACACAAGCCTTCCCGACAATTGCTACCGATAACGATGCACTTATGGTTTGTTGATTGAGAATTCTTTTAATCCGGGTGATTACGGTTGATTTCACTTTATATTTCGTTTTAGCTATATATCTGCATCTTTTCAAATGTTCCGTTTTTTGTTAACATTTATTCGCCAGTCAAATGTTAAAATGTGTCTCATCTTACGACAGTAGACGATAATCCTAGGTTTTATGACGAATCAATGCACAGCCAGCATATTAGCATGGAGTCTCCTGCCTCATAAACACAACGTCAACATACAATCATGCTAGACTTTGAATGACAAGGGTTATGGGTCTGTTGATAGCCAGGTGACATTTTGGGCAATGAGTCTAAATCTACCAATACTCATCTGTGTATATTGGTCCAGACAGTTGCCATTAAAGTCATAGCTATAGGCAGCTCAACAAACTTTGGTCGTCGACATTCATAATGTTGTATTATTGAAGGTAGAATGTCAGGCAAGAAAATTCCCCGAGTAGCTGCATAGCTGATGCCAATGAGATTGCTGTTCTTTAATTGCCTTCGAATGTTTGCGACATAAGATAGAGTTGACATAAACGAGATACATGTATGTCATATTCCACGTAATCGATTACAAAGTTCAAAATTTATTAAATATAATCATATCAAGCGTCATGGATTCGTTCAAGTTATGGTATTTGAGAAAAAAAAATCACAGAACTTTATAAAACAAACACCTCTCAATTATGGCCATCTCGGAGTCTCAATTACGATTATCTCGACGTCTTGACAGTTCCATGTTATGTATATGCCTATGCCACCATAGGGATGTATATGTCGATATATTATGTATGCCTATCTCGAAAGCCTGATGGTACCTATCTCGAAATCCTGATATTGCTTAGCTCGACATATCAATTTTGCCTATCTCGTCATCCCAAGGAGGTTATCGTTCATCTCAATGGTTTGTATCTAGACATCTCAATGATGCATACTCCATGAATCCTACCTTTTTATCTCACGTGTTTCCTCGCCTTCGCAACCCCAATCATAACAGTTCTATTCTGCATGTGTCCAGGAACTGTCGACACTTCGAAATACATGGAAATATGGCTAACTCGAACTCGCTTAACTGGAAGTATAAGACCAACTTACAAATTCAGCACTTAATTTACCCTTTGTTTCGAACAGTACTAAGGAGTTACAGTTGTGTTCCGTCGACTTCGAGATAGCCATTTTTCCATGTATTTCGAAGTGTCGACAGTTCTCTGCGTCGAAGCATTCAGCCGTAGTGAGGAGGTGTATTAAATAGCTGTGTAAATCCGGTGATGTGGCGAGGGGGTTGGGCCGATCGATCAGCTGGCGGGCAGGCCACATCAGCACCTCTACACCGGCAGAGCCTTCACGCTTAGCCAGGATTCGGCCAAACATTCACTTCACGGTCTCTCTGTTCCAGAGGTTGCGTGAAGCTAGGGGCTCGGCGGACAGACGCTGGGGGGTACGACATCATCCCCGCGGGGGTAGGGGATATCGAGGATCACACCTACATACGGTAAGTTTCATTTTAATTATACATCATTTGCATGAACTTAATGACGTTAGTGAGTTCAACTTCATCGATGCAGGTTTTTATTCAATTTAATTCTAAACTCATATGAATCAATATTTAGTTGTATAAAATGATCGATAGCATACAGCATGCAGCGTTACACTGAAGGGTTAACAGTGTAGGCAGGAAAATCACAATATGTCCACAATGAACGCCATATTATGGTTTCAAGATATACAATTTTATTACATTTCAAATTCATATTGAACAAATCATATTAAGTCCCTACTAATCTCACTTGACACTCGCATGTGTATTAATAGAAAATTGTATTAAAAGTTTAACATTTTAATAATTTTAACAAATTCCCACGATTAACGGACTTCGTGTCAGACTTGTGTGGATGGGGTATACTTGAACAGATTTTTTCCGTTTAAGAATTTAAATTCATAAAACTGTTATTTCCTAGTATATGAGTCAGAGTGCTAATGTAGTTACTTGATTGACTGCCATAGGTGACGCCACGCTGAATTAATCATGATTTCAATTCCTACGGAAATGTAATTTTTTTTGTTTTATTCTTGATTGATATAAACTGAACAGAACGGTTAGGGAAACGGAGTGGTATTAAGATACTTGATTCATAACACTGCGCATCGAGACGGACACTTGCTATATTCTTGACAATACTAGAAAGAACACGAGGTAAGTAGGATAAATATTTGCTATAAGGTTTAATTGGAGTACGATTACTCACAGGGACGTGTCCTTCCATCTATACGTACATAGTGAGAGGTGTAGCGTTTGTTGATGTTCCTGTTTCAAAGATTAACGGACAGGCGCTACAGGAGACGCACTACCCAGGTCAGCGAACCACCGGGTGTTGTCTCTCATTGATAAGTTTTCTGTCTGAATCAAATATGCACATACATACATATATACATACGCGCGCGCGCGTGCGTGTGTGTGTGTGTGTGTGTGTGTGTGTGTGTGTGTGTTATAGAGAGTCTTCGTTTATTTGTTCTATTTACGATATACATAACACAATATTGCCTCGGTATTTCCAATAAATGTAGATCCAAGCATTCATAACTATATATAGTACATGGGGGGTCATAGTGTGTTCCCGCGTCCCTCCAACACAGGCACTGTACAGTTACATATCTGTTGTATTTGAATCTTGCGTGGTTATTACATGTGACGTTTGATATAATGTATGCGTTTAACATAACGGGACTTCTACGCTTCTCGTTCATACCGCCAACCGCCAGATGTCACTGTGTGTGTGCTTTTGTTAGTATTACAATTAATACTGTGTTGGTAAAGGTCATATCGCAACTCGTAAACAAAGTCAGCTTTGATAAGTTACCCTACCGAAGGCACAAAGGTATATTGGCTCCTTTATAGCCAGCAAGACGTCACAGGCGTCCATTTATCGTTACGGTTTTATTATCTACAGATGACGAATATAAAATATCTAAATGGAGAGTGAGGCAGTGGTTTCTTCAAAATGATTTCGAGTTGATGGCTAGGAAGGCGCGTGTTTTGATACCAGAATAATTTATTTATAAATATTTCTACCAGCATTCCTGAAATATGGTTTAAATTATTTTGCTTTTGGAATAAAATTTATCACACCATTGGACTACATTATTACAAGAATCTGCATATTTCTGCAGGGTGGGGGGTAAAGTGGAGTCAAAGAGGTGAGAGGGGGGATAACGTGTCAGGGTGCGTCACTTACTCACTCACTCACTGCTACATGTTTTAGAGAGCCTGACTTGATCAACACGTCTGCCATTCATGTATTGTGTTTTTGTCCAACTGTTAGCATTTGTTCGAGATGTGGTATTTCAGCAAGACAGGCTTCTTTTTCTGCTTGAATCCTTTCCGTATGCATGTAGTCGTAGTATATCTATTCAGCAAAAGCATTTTTGTTCACCAGATCAGAGATAAATATTGGCTGCAGCTACAACATAACTTGTACGTTGTCAGAAACTGTGCCCTTTTTCTCTCTCTCAAGTACAGTTGCTCTGCTAGAATTTAACATTCAGGTATTATATGGCACACATTGCCTCACATACCACTTACCCAGTGGTGATATTTTGGCCCCTAGCAATCTGATCGAAAGAGGCGACCAACTGAAGCGGGTGGTCAGGCTTGGTGACCTGGCTAATTGCGTGTCATCTTACTCCGACGGTGTGGAGCTTGCTCATCATATCGATCACTGAATTGTCGGAGATAGATTTACTTATTTACGAGCGGTCGTCACACAGGTGGAATACTGCAGAGTGCGGCGTTAAACAACAACCGAACAAATAATGTAACAGATATATCAGAACCCAATATATCTGCATATATCTTGCAGCATGTGCACTTATAGCATTCTTGTCAAAACACCTTATCGTGGCACCAGATACAGAAATCTTGAAGCTATAACATTCATTGAAAAAACTTTCCAAACATGGAAAACGCTGTATGCATAATCGAGGTCAATTCTGCGAAGTTAAATGCACTTTGAACTGCACTGATTCTCTTCATCAGTGCCGCGTGCTTGTTATTTGAACTATGATAATGCACTGCAATAAAACTCGCATCCTTCGCGGCCCGACCAGCTCAGCTACAGTTGTTATTCCAGAAAGGGGATCATTCCTGAAGCATGCTCTATTCGGTTACCGTCAATGTATATGGCTTCAGCCGGAGGGATATAACGTCAACGAACAGTTTGAAGTCTTTGGCGACCTGCTTTGTATTCAATAGGTTGATCATAAACACATATTAATTCCTGCACTTCTTTAAAAAAAACAGCCAATATTTCATTAAGTTCCTAATTTGAATGTGGTTCAGCTGATATGGACGTTGATGCTAAACGAAAACCGATACTGCCTTCATTACCCGTGTATAAACAGACTATGAAGATTTCTTTCATAAGGGAAATATAAAACACTATCCAGCATGCAGAGGCGTTGGGGTAGCCTTGTGGTCAAAGAGTTCGCTCGTCACGTCGAAGGTCCAGATTCGCCTCCCCACATGAAATCACTCTGTGAAGACCATTATTGGTGTGCCCCGCCATGGTGTTATGATATATGGAATATTGCTAACAGAGGCGTAAGTCTATACTCACTCAGTCAACCTTCTTACTCAGTGAGTGAGTGATGATTGGGGCACATCGTGGACTTCAATGCTAGGGTTCGACACCTGTGACGCTGGAGACCACTGGGTCAGCTTTACCCCCAATAACACACTCATGGGGATTGTATCAATGTTTGTAGAAAAGAGACAAAATAAAGTACCGCCTTTTATAAAATTGTAATACCAATGTATGTTATTATGAACATACTTCGTCCACCATGCCTAGGGCACGCCAGAAACCTATGATTGTTGGTTCGAATCCCGGTTCGCCCCGATTATGTTTCTAGGTTTGCTAGCACCATACCCGTGCTTTGGGGTTTCACCGAAGTGGTAAACGTCTGAGACCTGCATCACTTCGGTCTTTCCCTCCACATTAAGCTGTCACCGCGATATAACTTGAATACTGTTAAAAGCGGCGTTAAACCCAACTCACTCACTCATTCATCATGCTGGTGTTGTTAATCAAAGGTGAAAAATATGAGTAATTGTTGTACTTGTCCATCAGTGAAGTAATGGTTGTACTTGCCCATCAGTGAAGCAATGGTTGTACTTGTCCATCAGTAAAGTAATGGTTGTACTTGTCCATCAGTGAAGTAATGGTTGTACTTGTCCAACAGTGAAGTAATGGTTGTACTTGCCGATCAGTGAAGTAATGTTGTACTTGTCCATCAGTAAAGTAATGGATGTACTTGTCCACCAGTGAAGTAATGGATGTACTTGTCCATCATTTCCGAAGCATTTTATGGGGCATCTATGCGTCTGTAGAACGGGAGGGATGAAATGAGTTTAATGGCTGTCCCGATTCCTGGTCTAGTTCTGTTCGACCGTTAAGAGTCATTTCCAGTCCCGTTATGAAAAGTGTTTTGGCATGAAACATCAGGTTGTTTTCAATGGAGACCAGTTATTTTCATGACTTTTGAAGCTATGCATATTTTACAAACGAGGTACAGGCGAAATACTTTTTTATATCTAGGTCACTTATGAATTATGAATAGGGATTATAAACATTTCACTACAAATATATATTACCAAAACATATTGTTCAGTTTATACAACTACAATGGAAAAACAGGTGATAAATAGTGTTTAAGAACTGGCTACGCGTTTCTGCTTGAATCCAATTACTTATACATGGTTCAACTGTAATGGCGGTTAATGGTGGGATGGTGTACTTATTATTCACAGTGAAATGTCATCAGCTCACTATAAGCGTGTGCTTGACGTGACGCCCAACTGAGATGAGATCACGAACCGACACCAAACAATCAGTAGTAATGTCGAGCGATATGCAGTCAGCGTTGTGGGGGATTAGTTTCAGACAAGATCAACCTTTATTTAAATGTACACATTAACTGATCTCACTCATGATATAGTCATCTGAAGATTTCATCATTTGCCGTTGTTGTAAACGGCACATTGGAAACTGCAATGGTATCGGTCACACCCATTGAATTTCTATCAATTCAGTGCATATGGTGTTAAACGCCACTTATTCAATATAAGCAATATTCGAGCAATATCAAGACGGGGACACCAGAAATGGGCTTCACACATTAGACCCAAGTAAGGAATCAAACCCGGTCCTTCGGCGTGACGAGCAAACGCTTTTACTACTACGCTATCCTACCCATTATTTCCTTGACCAGTTCGTACTTGCAAAGATCACTGGGTATATGTGTTTCGCATTTTTTCCTTCATGGTTAGTCACTATATATTTTGACAAATTAACGGTAATCTAGCTTTACCAATGATCTGGTGACTATAATCGTCGTTATCCTTTGCAGATCATTGGCTCATAAGTTGTAGTCATGCGTAGTGCCAGCTGTGTTATCAAAACTTCTACATGCGCTCTCTGTCAGTAATGGTTCAAC